GGCCATCAGCTCTGTGCTCATCCGGGAGGAAGACGGCATCCAACATGCCATCTTCTACGTTAGCAAGACCCTAAGGGAGGCCGAGCTCAGGTACTCCCCTGTGGAAAAAACGGTGTTGGCCATCGTTTGGACTGTCAAGAAGTTGGGCCACTACTTTCAGGCTCACCCGGTTCAGGTCCTCACCCATCAACCCCTCGGCGCCCTCACGAGGAGCCCCACCAGCTCCTCCCGCATGGTAAAATGGGCTATCTTCTTGAGCCACTACAACATTGACATCCGCCCAAGGCCTGCCATCAAGGGCCAAGCCCTGGCGGACTTTGTGACGGAATGTACCGCAAGGGCAGCCACGGACGGGGAGCCCTCGGCTACCTCGGACGACTGGTGGACCCTCTACACTGACGGCTCCTCCGCGACCAAAGCATGCGGAGGAGGGGTAGTCCTCATTACTCCCGAGGGCTTCAGGGCCTACTATGCAGTCCGCTTCTCCTTCAAGGTCTTCAACAATGAGGCCGAATATGAGGCCCTCCTATGTGGCCTTCGGCTGGCTGCCAACATGAGGGCTCGGCAGATCCACATCAAATGCGACTCCAAGTTGGTCGTTGGCCAAATCTCCGAAGAATATGAGGCCAAGGAGGGGAGAATGAAACAGTACAAGGAAGCGGCCAAAGAGTTGCTTAAGGTATTTGAGGCACACTCTCTCACTCAAATACCGAGGGCTCAGAACTCCGAGGCCGACATATTATCTAAGCTCTCGGTCGACTCCCCCGAGCACATCTCCAAAATTGCCAAAATCGAGGAACTCAGCCTCTCAAGCATCCAAGCAAGCCCCGTTATGAACATACAACAACGTCAGGAGGATTGGATCTCAGATATCACCGCCTTCATCTCCACAGGGCAGCTACCCGAGAAAGAGGCCCGCGCTAAACTGGCAAAACTGAGGGCTCCCAGCTACACCATCGAAGATGGAAGGCTCTACAAACGATCTTACAATGGCACGCTACTTCGGTGCCTTCATCCAGATGAAGCCGAGGTCGCAATGGAGGAAGTGCACAGTGGCACTTGCTCAGCTCACCAGGGACCCTTCTCCATGTCCCGAAGGCTCATTCTCCAGGGCTACTTCTGGCCGACCATGGCCAGGGATTGTGCTGACCTTGCCCGGAGGTGCACCGCATGTCAACATTTCCAGAAAGCTCCCGGCAGGCCAGCGGTCAACTATGCCCCCATCAGCACCTCTGTCCCATTTTCTCGATGGGGGATAGACCTTGTGGGCCCTCTACCGAGGGGTACCTCCAACAACAGATACATCATTGTGGCCATCGACTATTTTACCAAGTGGGTGGAGGCTGAACCCCTCGCCAGCATCACAGAGGTGAAGTGCCGTCACTTCGTCCTCAAGAACATCCTCAAAAGGTTTGGCGTCCCCCAACAGATCATCTCCGACAATGGGACACAATTTGAGGCAGCCCCCTTCTGTGCCCTTCTGGAGGCATGGGGCATCAAACACACCTTCTCCTCCGTTGCCTACCCTCAAGGCAACGGGCAAGTAGAGAACGCCAACCGGACCTTGCTCGAGGGCCTCAAAAAGAAGCTGGAGGCCGAGGGCGGTGGCTGGGTGGAAGAACTCCACAACATCCTTTGGGCCTACCGCACCACCCCTCGGCGAGCAACAGGTGAAACACCCTTCTCCCTCTGCTACGGTTGTGAAGCCAAAGCTCCTACGGAAGTCACCCTTCCCACCCGAAGGGTAATCCAATATGACCCCGAGGTCAACGACAGCAACATGGCCCTCGACCTCCACCTCATTTCAGAACGCCGGGAGCAGGCCTTCATCCGGGCAGAAAACTACCGAAGGCAAGTTAAAAGCTACATCGACGCCAAAGTTCGCACCCGAGAATTTCAAGTGGGGGACTATGTCCTCCGGAGGAGGGAAGCCAGCCAACCAACCGGGGGAGGAAAAATGGCACCAAAATTCGAAGGCCCCTACATCATAGCGGCCATCATCAAACCCGGGACCTACAAGCTCAAACGCCCCAATGGGAAAGAAGTCCCTAGGCACTGGAATGTACACCATTTAGTTAAATTTTATCAATAATGTAAGAGCGGCCAAGCCCTCACAACTAGTGAATGTACTATCCTATGGCCCAAGGCCTCCAATTTCGAAGAATGAAGATACATCCAAGACATCAAGCCCTCATACTGACTACAGGCCCCAGGCCTCACCACGAGAAGAACCCCCTCCGGCACCAAGTGCCGAGGGCGGACACCATCAACACCTACAGTGAAAACACCACGTGTTTTCAGTCAAAACCCCTCGGTACCAAGTACCGAGGGAGGGAACTCCTATCACCAACAACAAGGAACGCCATGTGTTTCATTTCCCTTCGGCACCAAGTGCCGAGGGTACATCCCCACCTTCAAACATCAAAGAAGAAAAGATGAGGACACCAAGTGTTCCTACAGAAGACCCTTCGGCACCCAGTGCCGAGGGTACACCTCCATCATCAACATCAAAACGAAGAAAAACACCAAATGTTTCAAAGAAGACCCCTCGGCACCCAGTGTCAGGGATATGCTCTCCTATCAACTTCCAACATCTGTTGGGAAACACCAAGTGTTTCATTTAGAGACCCTTCGGTACCAAGTACCGAGGGTAGACGCCTACATCAACTACAACAAAAGAGAACACCAAGTGTTCCTACAGAAGACCCCTCGGTACCAAGTACCGAGGGCTGCACATCGAAACTAACACCAAGTGTTGTTTCTAAAAAGCCGTACCCCACGAGGACGCATATACCGAAGGCGCCACCATCGGTGCCGGCGGCACGTAGTGCCCCTTGGCCATTTGCAACTAGTGTGCAAATGAAAACCCTTCCTTGAAACGCTTTCCGCGTCACTACCCCCAGGGTATGACAGGCATGAGAAATGCCCAGGATTCGAGTTTCAAAAACGGAACGCTATCCGCGTCACTACCCCCAGGGTATGACAGGCATGAGAAATGCCCAGGATTCGACTTCCAAACCGAAACGCTCCCCGCGCCACCACCCCAAGGGTGTGGCAGGCCATAGACTATGTCTAGCGCCGAGGGGACGACTTTCAAAAATGAGGCGCTTTCCGCGCCATCCCCCAAGGGGAGGCAGGTTACGGACCACCATATCTTGTGCCCAGGAAACGTCCCTCGATCCCCTCGGAACTCGGAAGGTTAACCCGAGGGAGGAGAGCCATTGGTGTATTCTGATGGTCTCCTAATAGGCCCAGCCTTACCAAGAAACCAAGTTTCTTGATGCCTTCCCTTCACCACCAACCAAAAAAAAAGGGGGGGGGGGTGAAGGGGAGTAGACTCAGCGAGAAATCAAAGAGTACACTCCAACAGATCACAACAAGCCGAGGGCTCCCCACGGGAACACCTCCGGTAACTGAAGGCTCCTATTTCCCGAAGGATACTACTCGAACAAATAGCAGCAAGGAACGGCTAAGTCCACTGCCTGGTCACCTCCGGTCACACAAACACCGAAGGCTTCAACAATACAAAGGGACTGGACTATCCAAAGTACACTAAGACGGTACCTTCAAATATGTACCGAAGGCCCCTACCCCATTACAAGGGACACAACTGGCTGAGTCAAACTCTACAACTCTTCAGAGTGTATGCCGAGGGCACACACTCCTCATTGGCTTTCTTCACAACAACAGGATTCAACATCAATTTACGCAAAGTAATGTAGAATCAGAGGGCACCTATCACCCGAAGGCTACACAAGGAAGCAGCACTTGAAAAAATCCTAAGTCCTAAAGATTGGGCCCCCGGCCCAATCAGCATTACAGCCAAGGGAATATGGTAGCCGAAGGTCATGCAATACAACAACACTTGAAAAAATATATCCTGTCCTAGATGAGCAGCCCCCGGGCATCTGGCAAAGTGATGTGGAGTCAGAGGGCACCTATCACCCGAAGGCTCCCAAGGGAAAATCTACACTTAGAATACTTTCTAAGTCCTACATGTTTTTCCCTGGTCAACTACTCTTACATCAAGAAGGGATGCCATCACCCGAAGGCTCCCAAGGGAAAATCTACACTTAGAATACTTTCTAAGTCCTACATGTTTTTCCCCGGTCAACTACTCTTACATCAAGAAGGGATGCCATCTCCCGAAGGCTCCCAAGAGAAAATCTACACTTAGAATATTTTCTAAGTCCTACATGTTTTTCCCCGGTCAACTACTCATACGTCAAGAAGGGATGCCATCTCCCGAAGGCTCCCAAGGGAAGATCTACACTTAAAATATTTTCTAAGTCCTACATATCTTCCCCCCGGTCAACTACTCATACATCAAGAAGGGATGCCATCTCCCGAAGGCTCCCAAGGGAAAATCTACACTTAGAATATTTTCTAAGTCCTACATGTTTTTCCCCGGTCAACTACTCATACATCAAGGAGGGATGCCATCTCCCGAAGGCTCCCAAGGGAAACTCTACACTTAGAAGATTTTCTAAGTCCTACATATTTCACCCTCATCTCAAGGGACCTAATTGCCGAAGGCTGCCTATCAATCGAAGGCTACAGTACACAAGGAATCAACACTCAAAAAAAAATTTCCTAAGTCCTAAAGAATTGGTCCCCGGCCTACTCAATATTTCAGTTGAGGCTCCACAGTAGCCGAAGGCTACGTGACATACTACACTTGCAAAAATCTCTAAGTCCTGTGCATTGGGCCCCCGGTCCAACGTTCACGCATCAGGAAGGGATGCCATATCCCGAAGGCTCTCAAGGGGAAATCTGCACTTAGGAATTTTTCTAAGTCCTAGGACTTGGGTTACTACAAACGCCCGAAGGCCTCATGCTGTGCTACACTTAGAAAAAATTTTCTAAGTCCTAATTGCTGCTGAACCCTCGGTTACATATCCATCAGAGGGTGCCCAGCTACCGAAGGCTTCCGGGGCAAGCCACAATCAGAAAACATTCTAAGTCCTAAAACATACATTCAAGGGAGAAGGCATACATTCAAAACATAAGGCGCATTCAAATATGAAGAGTCCGGAGGCAGCATGCATTCATCAAAAACGGAGTGAGTGTAAAATTACAAACAGGCCGAAGCCGAAGGATAAATATTGTTCATTACAAGATATGTTCACACATTCCTAAGTACAAAATTACTCAACAATTTCGACGGCATTCCCGGAGGCGTCCTCTACTGCAGGCTTGGACACGGCATCATCACCAATCTCCTCCTCGTCGTCACTGCCCTCGGCCATCAGCAGGGAGTCTTCCAAGTCAGGCCTCGCAACACCTTCAGGGAGGGGAACCCTGGGGTCTGGCTGAAGAGGAGGAAGGCCATAGGATGCCGGATCAAAGGCCTTCGGGTCCACCCCAAAATGCCGGGACAGCCTTCGATATACGAGGGCCTGAGTAAAGTACTCACTCCCGTCATAATATTCCTTCCCCTTTCGGGCCAACCACATGGCGCCTGGGCCTTTCACCCATTCGTCCACCGAAGCTTCCACCACCGAAGCCACCCATTTTTGCCGACCTTCGGCTTTCCATCCCTCTTCGGCAAAAGTAGCAACAGCCTCCTCCCGGGCTTCGGCGACAGCTTTGATCCGGGCCTCCTCGGCATCCTCTGCGGCTTTCTTGGCAGCATCTGCCGCAGCCTTCTCCGCCTCTGCTTTACCTTCGGCCCTGGCCACCGTCTTGGAGCCCTCGAGGATGTCTTTGAAAGCCTCTTGCTCAGCTTTGCGAGCGTCCTCGGCCTCCTTGAGCTGCCTTCGGGCCTCGGCCAGTGCTTCAGCGGCCTTCTTCTTCTCCGAGTCATGATGTTCTATCCTCTGGACCAGCTCGCCAAGGCCAAGGCTCGCCTGAAAGCAGACATGAATTACCGGAGGGTTAGCCACTACTCATGTAAAGAATGAAGTTATCTACAAAAGAGGGGGAAGGAAACTTACCGTAATCGAGGCCATCAGAACCTTGGAGCAGAGGACATCGTCAGCCTGACGGGAGAGCACGGACTTATCGGTCGGAGGGGTGGCACCCCTCAAAAACTCCTTCGGGTTCAGGGTCCCGTGCATGATAGCAGTCCCCTTCGTAATGGAAAATTGGACTTTGTCCAGGGGCCATGTCAGATCAGTCGCCTGACCCGAAGGCTTGGGAGGAGAAGATTCTTCTATGACCACAACGGGGGCTTCCTTCGACTCCGGGGCCCCCTTCTTCTTCTTCTTCCCCTCCGGTTGTGCCGGGTCCTTCCCATGCCTTTTTCTCTTCAGCTCCAGACCGGGGGAGCCCCCGACGGCGGCCTCCGATACGGGCCCCGCCTCCTTGGCCTCTTCGACCGCTCCCGCCTTGGGGAAGATCTCATCGACCGCCCTCTGCTGTGCGGGGGCCTCCTTCTTCTGCTCCTCTCGAGCAAGTTGCCGCTTCAGCTTGACCAGGTTCCGAGCGTCCATGTCTGGTCCTGAAACACAAGAAGGCACACAGGGGTTAGTTCACTATTACAGCAAAGCAAAAAATATGAAGGGGGGAGAAAATTTTCTAAGCATGAGAAATAAAGCCTTCGGCATTACAACAACCTTCAGCACTCTCATATACGCGGTCAATCAGGGGGTAGCCTTCCTCCCTCTCCCCCATCAGCCGGTACCGACGGAAGCCAAGCTTGTACAACTCACTGGAGAGCGTTGCACCTTTGATGGACACATGTTTATCAGAACCCTCCGACTTCTTGGACAACACCCGCCCATTCTTTTCGAGGGCATACCCTTCTGCCTTCGGGTGCCGCCGAAACCTGTCACCAAGCGGAGCGAGAAGGGGTTCTCGGCCAACCGGATATAGCAAAACTTGTCTTTCCAGCCCTTGTGAGACGAAGGCGCCTCATCAAAGATCCTGAACTTCGGGAGTTGCTGCAGATTACCATAGCCCCCGGCGTTCGAATGCCCCCCCGGCATAAGTTGAATGACAGGAAGAATTGCTCCAGAGTAGGGGGGACCCTTCGGCTTAGGCACAGTGACAGGAACCCTGCCAGATATGAGTGACTGTTCGGGGTCAACTGGCAGGGGGCTAGCTTTACAAAACGGAGGTACTCCAACACAAAAGGATGAAGGGGGAACCTGAGACCCAGCTCCACCGAAAGCAGATGCACGGCAAAGCAGCCGTCGGGGGCACGAAGGAGCACGTCATCCGGCTTTGGCTCTACCACTTGCGCCGAAGGCCCTACCAAAAATTGCACCGCCATCATCTCCCCTCGGGTAGCTTTATTCTTGACCTCCAAGGCGGCCGTATTCAGGAAAGAATAGCCCTCGGGGAGTCCCAGTGGCTGGCCAGCGTCGACGGCAGCTTGCTTCTTCTTCGAAGCCACCCTCGCCTTCTTTCTCTTCTGTCCTGGGGCCACACTGAGGGGTACAGCGTCTATAGGCCGGGAGCTCCCAGCTTCAGTACCACACCGAGGGGGAGGGATAGCTACAGTTACCTTCAGGCCCTCCTTCTGGGCCTCGTCCTCGGCCACTTGACAGGCGATGGCAAGCTCCTCATCCGCGTTCACCTGCTCGAAGTCTTCGGCCTCGAGCTCAAGTTGAAGGTCACTCTGTACCGCCTCGGCTACGGCCCTATCATCAATGGCCGAGAGCTGCTCGCTCGAGGATTCCACATCAGACGGTACTTCAACGTTCACTGAAGCCTCCCCGGAGATGTCTTGGGAATCACTAGCTGACGACATCTTTCTAAAAGGCGAGGGGTCGGGAAACTCGTACGAAGGGGGGGTTCCTGAAGGGTCCTAAAGACTAACCCTAAGGCCAAAAGAAATACTCAAATGGAGCTAAGGGCGGAAGGAGAACTGACCTCTGAAAGCTGAGTTTTTGACCGAAAGCTTGAGTTTCTCTCTCTAGAATTTTTTGCAGAGCTTCGCTACAGATGTGGATGCGTAAAGGAGGAATGGCCCTGGCTTGGGGTATTTATAGGCTCCCAGATCCGGGCTTGGGCCGAGATCCGGGCTCCCGGCAGCCAAAGCCATCATTACGCACCGTCGTTTCACCCAACCGGTGACGCCGCCCACGAACAGCCAGCCATCACACGCCACGTGTGCCACCCCCCCAACGGTTATATCCTGTCGTTACATATTCCAACGGCTATATCCTGTCGTTACATATTCCAACGGCTATATTTCCAACGGCTATATTCTGGAAGCCCCCGGGTTTTCTACTTCACTCCACTTCATCAAGGATAGCCTTCGGGTACACTCACTCAGAAGTGCCCCCGGGGTGTGCCACACACAGCACTTAACAGGCGCCTTCGGGATCACTCCTTCAGAAACCCAAGGCTTCATATCAGGGCACCCCCTCGGGAATTCCCCCTCAGCACTGCAACCCCGGGTAGCCCCCGGGGAGTTGCCTTCATTGACGGATAACCCGTCGCGCACAGATAATGGGAGCCCTCGGGTATCTTCATCACCAACTAATCAACAAACAGTGGACCCCCCGGTAACAACTCCGCTGCCGCCCTCATCCAGCAGGCCCTCGATCCCCGGATTGAGGGGCTCCCCTTCGGCATCCCCAGGATATCAACGGCAAGCCTTCGGCTGATCAATACATGAGCACTCAGAAAAAGAAGAGCCTTCGGCATTACCGTTATCCTCCATTTTTGACCAAGGTTTGACATTTTCGATTCATCATTGGGGGAACTCGTTGCACTCTTTTTCCCCCCAGGGTTTTTCCTAATGAGGTTTTTAACGAGGCATCCCCCCAAAATGAAACGAAAAACGTCAGCCTTCGGCCCACAACAGCAACACAACTACTCTACTCCTTTTCACCACTTTACAAGTGCCTCAAGGAGTGGGGGACTGGAGGACCCCCTCGGGAAAATCATTAGATTACAAAATTAGTGAAATTCCAACAAACGACAAGGCAAGCCCTCAAGTCCCGACATGTGGGTAACTGAGGGACTGCCTTCGGCAGGGACATAAGAGCAACAACTCCTCACCAACTTCAGAGATCACGATGGGACAACATCAAAGGGCAAGCACAAGTTACTCCTTTTCCCTCAAGTACCTTTCGGCAAAAGGAGTGAGGGACTCCTGATGGAGTATATGGCCCGGGAACCCCCGGCCCACAGACTCCTACTACTCCAGCGAAGGCCCAACAGGCCCAGAAGGCTCAACAGGCCCAGATCACAGCGCCCAGAGTACCAAGCAGCCCGCATTACGCGCCAGGGGTGCCTTCGGCCCCCTGGCCGAAGGCTCTAAACTCTCACAGGATGGGCTTCGCAAGCAAATTAAGAAACTGGGAGAAAACGGCGAAAACAGTAGCCCTCGGCACCAGAGTGCCATCGGTTGGAGGATCCCTCGGCCATTGCTCTATAGCCGAAGGCATCTCACCCGACAAGATATCCGCCCCACATGCGTGCAAATCACCGTACCCTGCACAGACGTCCCATCCAACAGCCGCATTAAATGCGGCCACATGCGGCTGCCAGCGCCAACCAGTTGAGGTGACCCCTCGGCCAATGAGCGCTTGACACGTGTCCCTGTCCGGCATTTATTGCTACTATAAATAGCACCCCATTTCCTCATTTGTAACCACGCTGAAAACGGCATTCATACTGAATACACTCTCTCTCTACATTTACTTACTTGCTCTGACTTCTCTCTAAGTTATTCCCCGTAATAACCCTTCGGATATATACCCCCGGGTAGACTATCCATCACATGATGTGTATCTAACATTCCCCCCTCAAAATTAGGGTGATTGGTTTGACAACTCAATCACACTAAGTTTTGTTTTCAAATCAAGAAATCTGGAACTGGAGAGTGACTTGGTCAGTATGTCTACAATCTGATGAAGAGAGGGAATATGATAAACTTGAAGTTGCTTGAGCAGAACTTTTTCTCTGACAAAGAAAAGATCAATTTCCATGTGCTTGATCCTGGAATGCAAAACAGGATTGTGAGCCAGTTGAACAGCACTGAGGTTATCACAGTATACTCTGGGAGTAGAAAAGGGGACTTGAAGTTCTTTTAATAGAAATTGAATCCATAAGAGTTCTGCAGTGGTGTACTGGTGTCTGCCAGACTCCTATACTCTGCTTCTGTTGAAGATCTTGCAACCCTAAGTTGTTTTCTTGACCACCAGGAAATAATGTTGGTTCCAAGAAGTATGCATGAGCCAGATGTAGACTTTCTGTCATTGGGATCAGATGCCCAGTCAGCATCACAGTAGGTTGATATTGGTAGAGGTATAGAAGACAAGGAAATAGGTCTGGTAACAATTCCATGATTTACACTTCCAGAAAGATATCTGAGAATATGTTTCACTGCATTCCAGTGCTCCTGCAGTGGTTCTGCCGTGAATTGGCACACTTTGTTGACAGCATAACAGATATCTGGCCTAGTCAAAGTTGCATACTGTAACATTCCAACAATGGATCTATACTGGGAAGGATTTGAGTAGTAATCACTGCCTTGTTTCTGCAGTTTGCAAGTGCTCACCATAGGTGTCATAACTCCCTTAGATTCAAGCATGCCATCTTGATTTAGAACATCTCTGATGTACTTAGCCTGTGATAGGTGAAGACTGCCATCTGGGAGCTTGTGTGCCTCTATTCCAAGAAAGAAATCAAGCTCTCCCAAGTGTTTTAGAGAAAATGAGGAATGGAGTTTGTGAATGAGTTAAGTTATGGTTGCTGAATTGTTCCCAGTGACCAAGATATCATCAACATAGATAAGAATGTAAATTTGGACTGTAGAGGATAGATAGATGAGTAGGGAAGGATCAGATTTGCTTTGTTTAAAACCAGCAGCATAAAGAACTGAGGTTAGTTTTTGAAACCAAGCTCTAGGAGCTTGCTTTAAGCCATATAGTGATTTGTGAAGTTTACAAACCAGAGATGTGTCTTGAACTTCAAAACCTGGAGGCTGAACCATGTACACTTCCTCATCTAGTTCACCATTCAAGAAAGCATTGTTAACATCTAACTGCTGGATGGACCAATTGTGTGAAATAGCAATGGTAAGCAAGATTCTGATAGTGATAGGCTTCACAACTCGAGAAAATGTTTCCCCAAAATCAAAACCAGACTTTTGATGAAAGCCTTCAGCCACCAATCTGGCTTTGAACTTGTTTAGAGAACCATCACGGTTTTCTTTGACTCTGTAAATCCACTTGCATCCAATAGCATGCTTATCTGGAGGAAGAGAAACAAGAGTCCATGTTTTATTAGCAATCAAAGCATTATATTCAATCTTCATGGCTTCAAACCACTGTGGAGAAGAGAGAGCTTGTTTAACTGATTTAGGCTCAATATGAGCCAACAGTAAGGTAGGATGAAGTCTTGGTTTTACTATGCCTGACTTTGCCCTTGTCCTCATGGGATGATTATTGATGATAGGAACTGAAGGAGGTGGAGTAGTTTGGTGAAAAGAATAAGATGAAGAAGAATGAGGGCTAGGTGAGGAGTGTGATTCATGAGATGTGTTGGGAGGATGTTCATGAGATGAGGATTGTGATTCATGAGAGGAAGATTGACTTTGAGTATTATTAGAGAGAGATGGATGGTGTTCATGAGATGTGTTTGAAGGGTGGTTTTGAGAAGATACAGAGTCAGCACTTGAGGATTCAGATTCAGGGGTGCTGGGAGGGTGGATGAAGGTCTGAACACTAATAGGTACAGAAGGATGATCCAGATGGAGGTTAGAAGAAGAGGCAGATGAAGTAGGTTTGAACAAAGTAGGATAAGGAAATTTGGTTTCTTGAAAAATAACATCTCTGGAGATGTAAATTTTCCCTGAGGATGATAAGCATTTATAGCCTTTGTGACTTGGTGAATAGCCCACGAAAACACACTCTTCAGTGTGAAAGTCCAGTTTGTGTTTATGATAGGGTCTGGTGAAAGGGTAGCAGACACATCCAAAAACCTTGAGAAAGGTATAATCTGGAACAGATTTATGCAGTTTGAAGTATGGACTGGAATTAGAGATTGACTTGGATGGTGTTCTATTTATCAGATGAACAGATGTAGCAAAAGCTGCATCCCAGAATTTAAGAGGCAAGGAGGAGTGGGACAGAAGAGAAATGCCCTTTTCAACAATGGTACAATGTTTTCTTTCTACAACACCATTTTGATGGTGTGTATGAGGACAAATAACTCTGTGTATAATGCCTTTTTCAGTGAGAAGTTTAGTGAAAGACCTAAATTCACCACCCCAGTCAGATTGAATGGACTTTATTGAGGTAGAAAACTGGTTCAGAACATATTGAGAAAGGTTATTAAAGGCTGTAAGAGCATCTGATTTTCGTTTGAGAAAATAGATCCAAGTGTATTTAGTATATGCATCAATGAATGCTATGTAGTAGTAGTATCCATCAAAGGAGGAAATGGGGGCTGGTCCTCATAGGTCTGTAAACACTAACTCAAAAGGATGGTTATATTCAGTGGTGGAAGAATAGGAAGGTAACTTATGTGCCTTACCCATGTAACAAGCAGAACAAAAGTCAATCTCTTTTTTATTGATGTTTGAAATATTACATTGCTGAAGAACAAGTTTCAGAGCCTCAAAGTGAGGATGACCAAGCCTAAGGTGCCAAAGATTACAAGTTGAAATAGGACTACAGGATTTGGCATTATTACAAGTAGATAACAAAACATTAGACTTGGAACAGTATGAAGAGAACATAGAAGATTGGTTAGTAGATGTAGGACTTTGATGTGAACCAACAGCAGGAAAGGATTTGAATCTATAGAGACCATCTTCTCCCAGAATTCCACGCAAGAGAATTTGCTTAGAACCCTGAGATTTCACAAAGCAATCATAAGGATAAAATTCAAAATAGACATTGTTATCCTTAGCAAACTGACTAACACTGATCAGATTTTTGGTTATTGCAGGCACATGTAGAATATTTCTGAGAGAAAGAGAAATAGAGGACTGATAAGGGGAAGGAAAGGAAGTAAAACCAATAGACTTGATGTCCAAACCTTGATCATTGCCCATAAAGAGTTTATCAGTTGTAGTAATAGGCTCACTATGCTGCAGGTTAAGGGGATCTGCAGTGACATGGTGAGTGGCTCTTGAGTCAGGAAACCAAGTTTGTGGATGAGGCCCAAGAATAGAAGTGTTGGCAGTAGGTTGATGTTGTTGATGAGTAGCAGTGGGTTGATATTGGTGTTGTGTAGGAGATGGTGAAGTATGGTAAGATGATATCTGATCCCAGATGAATTGTGGTTGAGGAAGCTGTGACTGAGGATAGTTAGATCTTTGTGGAAAGGTATTAGGATTGGGAAAAGTAGAATGTTGGCTATAGGAATTTGAGGGAGTGGAATTTGAAGCAGTGTAGGCTGGACTGTAGCGGTGATAGCATATCAATGCATGGTGGCATGGTTTTCCACAAACTTGACATGTGACTGAATAGCGACCTCCAAATCTTCCTCCTCTACCTCGGTTGAAACCTCCACGACCTCTTCCTCGATAAGAGTTAGGGTTGTCATTGTTGTTAAGCTGAGCAAGTTGAATCGAAGCATTGTCTGGAGTATTTTCACTGGCAGATTGATTAGTTGTGGACGTAACCTCCAGACGAGCTACATTAGCAGACAATAGATTCGTCTGAGACGATTCACGAAGTTTCTGCAATCGCACCTCTTTGGCAGACAAAAGAGATTCGACTTCCGACAAAGTAGGAGGGTCGAGAATGCTACGAGAGGAAATAGATGACACTAGGGATTCATATTCCTCCGGTAAACCTTCTAAAATCACATTAATGTGTTCCTTAATGGTTATCGGTTCGCCAATAGAAGGGAAATTATCAGCGATGGTTTGGATCTGTAGAAGGTACTCAGAAATAGTACGTTCACCTTTCGCAGTAGTATACAGTTCCGATTTCAACTGTCTGGCCTTCGCAACAATACTTGCTCTGAAGAACGTGTTGATCTCATTCCAGAGCTCATATGAATGTCTGCAATGGATCACTCGTGCATGAAGCGATTCTGACAAGGATGCGAGCAACCACGAGAAGAGCATTTGGTCTTGTTGTTCCCAGGTAAGATACAATTCATTCACGTTTCCAGCTTCTTCATCAGCACCGGAGACAAATTGCTTCGGAATTTCTGGTTTGATGATGAACCGAAAGAGTTTGTGTGCACGAACGATTGATTCAACATGATGCTTCCAAAAAATGAAATTATTAGCATCAAGCTTGATCGGAAGTTGATGTGCGAAAGTAACGATGGAAGAAGAATTTGTGGAGGTAACAGAATCTGAGTTAGATGACACCATTATTGGATCGATCTAGAGCATGAGCTCTGATACCAAAATAGAAGAGGAAGAAGATAAGAGATAATACTATTTCACATTGATCTCAACAATGAACTGAGTACAAGTATTTATACAATTGGTTATAAATCTAATTAACTTCATAACAACCGGGCCCCCAACTAGTATACTGTTTTAAGATGATTCTTCTAGTCTATTACATGATGTGTATCTAACACATATTTATACACACAAGTTATATTTGACCTGTCTGAACGCGAGCTACATATTTTTACACGTAAAGTTACATATTTTTACACGTAGAGTTACATATTTATACACACGAGTTGCATTTAACCTGACTGGACGTGAGTTACATATTTCTATACATAAAATTACATATTTTACATAGGTTAATATAATAGTTCGATAATATGTTAAAATTACATAGGCAATATTGGTCTCATTTGAAAGATCATGAAAAATAAAAAATGTTGATATAAATTTTATAAAAATCGGATCAAAAATAAAAAAGTTATTACCATTTTTTTAAAAAAGAGAAAAAATAATACCCGATGGGTGCATGGTGCTCACCATGCACCGATTGCAAGGTATACACACTCGTAAATTTCTGCCAAGTTTGGCATTACTAGGCTTTAAACATGGCATTTTTTTCCAAACTTGGCAGATTACTCATATTCAAGGAATAAAAAACATGATAGTCCTATTTTGAAATTTCATAGCATTTTTACTCCTATTTAGGGCAATTTCTATTCTTTATTCGAGCATATATGAGGTTGATAAAATCAATGATTTCAAGCCGAGTCATAGTTACAACTCATAATCAAAATAATCAACTTAGACTAATATATTTGAAAATTAAATGATGACCGAAATTATCAGTTACTATCCCAAGTCACATAAACTTATATACTTCGTATAAACATAAGGAATTAGGACTATCACACATGACAAAGACATATTATCTAGGTTGGGTTATATATTTTTTAAACACTAATGAGGGAAAAAATCATCAAGAATGTTTTTCTCTTGTAATGAACATTTTTACCATATCTTCCCTAATGACACTCCACAAACAAGCCAGGTATCAAAGTAAAGCTTTAACAACAAATACACTGCCAATGTGATCATAAAGCAGAGTTTGACATAACTTCATAATACTCATTAGACTCCATATCAGCAGAGATTGTAACATATATCAGTTAACCCTTGGTTAAAACCTTGCAACAGATACATATATCTGTAGCATAGTCTATATTTGTTTAAAAACAAACGGAGCGTAAATGTCCAAATAGTGAGTCTAATACGAAGAGGTTGCTCAAAAGTTAAAACATTCATAATAGGGTTTGCATGAAATCTAAATGACATTCTTCTTTTCTCCTTAAAACATGTAACAAGCGTGGTATGGCCACTTTCAGGTTCACCCAATTCTTCAATTCACCACAATCTCAATTCTCACATGACCTATTCTTTACAATGAATAACAAATAATCACATTTGACATAAGATACAGCCTATCCAACACAACATCTTCAACCGCCCTGCCCCTCCCCAAAATGATATAAAATAAAAAGGCTATTATTCCAGTGGTAATTCACTACTGAATACCTGGATTGCACACAACACCTTCAGTCCTCTGTAAAACAGCTCTCAATGTAGTCCGTCCAACACGACTTATCCCGGTAGGTCTGTCTAAACCTCTGTGTGCGTGGCTATGCCTTTAGAAGGTGGCATTATCACAAAATAACCATGATTTCATTAATATAGTAATACTCTGTAACAATTAACTGGATGAAACAATCTCCTTCCCATGATCTTCATCCTCGCAAATATGTCTCTTCAACCTTCTTAACCATATTGCATAGTCTAACGGGTACGGGGTCCCACACAGACTATCAACGTAATCCGCAAACGCTTTCAAAACAGCAGATATATCCCCCAGCCTCTGCTGTATCTGCCTCTTTGACCAGACCGTTTCCCTCCATTGCAATGCCCCCTCAACCGAATCCAACTCCGGCATATCTCCGCTGCCGGAAGCAGAGAAATAGAGCATGTACACAAGGCTCTCAGCATCTGAAGCTGAGCACAGTTTTCCCTCCTGAAGGGCATAAGTGGAAGAGAAGTGTAGGTTCATTGTGGGACGGTCCCTCTCTTCGAGAATCGCGTGTCCCCATCCAATAAGGACAAAGTGGGGATTCCTCATGCCTGAGGTCACGTAGATGACGTTCTCTGGCCGGATATCTCCGTGCCGGATTCCAGCAGACAGGGCCGACGAGAGGGCGGTGAGACAGTCGTGGCAACACCTGATCGCCTCGTCAATCCCAAACTGCCCGCCTCTGACCATATCTGCGACAGTTTTTCCGACCGGACTCGTTATGAGAACATGGGTCCCACACCAAACGTATTCGCAGTTACTAGGTCTCCGGCACTTTCCGGGATGAACTATCCGGCCAGATGCACTCAGCTGAGGCAGATATTTGCAGGACAGTCCCTTTTGTTTCATAACAGACAGCACTTTAGTCTGCCTTTGGACTTGATACCACAGTTTCATATCTTCCCATGCCGGTTCCAGATGAGAAGGATGGGACCCAACGTAAAGAAACAAAGATTTCAACGGACAATCGACAGGAGAAGCAATATAATACATCATATCCCCGTCACTCAACATATCGTTGATCCGGTATCCTTTCTGTAAGTTTGTATCCTCTATCAACATGACAGAACCTACTTCCAGCATCATTACTGGCTTATTATTGTTTTTACTATTTAGCTCCAACCTTACGGGTTCTTCTTCTTCTACTTCTACAATTTCAGGCGAAGCAGTATGTTGCTGGAGCCGGAGTATACCGTTTCTGTCCACACTGTTATTATTGCTGCCTAAGTGCCTCTCGATCTGTCTCGATTGAAGGCGAGAGCTATGGTCAGCCGCTAAATCTTCAACAGAGTTCTTTGGCGTTCCAGCATATTGTGTGATCGCATGGAATGTGGCAAAGAGTGACTGTAAAGCACCAATGTCCCCCCAGTTGGCATTTCCAAGCTTGTTCCATATCCTATCAATAGGTGAAATTGAAACCATAGCGTGGTTTTTGACCCACTCAGTGGCACATCTGTAAACGTCATTCACGCCCATTTCCAGCTTTCTCATGTCACCTTCAATTCTCATCACCCCGCCATATTGAGAATCGACCAGGAGGACAAAAACGGAACTTAGGCTGAGGGGAATGTTGGATTTACTTACGTTTCTTGAAACTAATACGCGTATGGCAAAAAACAATGCTTCACTGATAATGGAGAGAGAAGGCTTATTATCTGACGTGGCAAGGCCACCCATATCGGGTCGGAGAATTGCTAATTCAAGAATATCATCCCACTTCCCCAGTGGGTGCCTAGGGTTCTTCAGAACTATTGCCGCAGCACAAAGACCATTGAGCTTGTTTTTAGAAATTGCCTTCTCAGCTTGATAGAATCTGAAATTTGTGTTGTGAACACAAGAAACATAGAAAGGAAAGGGCTCATCATGACCCCAGAATGCCTCCCATAAGCCCTTCACACTCGCATGGAGAAAGTCCTCTAAAGCAAGGTAAGCAGTGGCTTCAACAGCATTAGATGTTGAGGCATACACAGCACTGGGCATCCGAACCAGTTGCTGAAAGGGGATTCCTTCCAATGCGTAATCAAACTGTTGAAGATCTATCAACTCAAATGGCGTGTCAAAAGGCTGTGCTGCAGTTTCTGTAATTTCCTTAAACCATGGGGTTAGGTTTGTTGTGAGTACTTCACTGTCAGAAAATCTACGGAGAAACTCTTTGCTTTCTTGAACCCTACCACCTGATGAAGACACGGTGGATAATTTTGCCACAGATTCCCATGACTCTCGATCAGGGGACCCGCCTGTAACATTTAGTCAAAATGTCTTAAAAACAGCATCAACAAGCTTGCAAGAATTTTGAGATTACAAATAGCTAATACCCGCTTTAGCCCCTCGTACATTATTATTCAATTTGCTCCTCAATTTCTTGGACTCAGTCCTTGACAATTCAATTTGGAAATAATTTAATTCCCATAGATTTTTTGCTCTAAGAGAGTAGGGTATTTTTGTCCTCATCAGAGCAAATGCCCTTATTAATTAGAGCAAGATAGATCAAAGGGCTGAATAAGATACAAATTGCATAGTCAAGGACCACAAATTGAGTAATAGTATATATCCTATGGGCCAAATCCATTTTAAGAGATATGGTGGCATACAACCTCAACAAAAACCATTTTATTGCATCAGAATGGTAAGTGAGAAGACAACTAACACAGTAACACCATAAAAGAGATCAACCATTACATGCTGTCACAATACTTGACACTTCCCTTCACCTCTACAACATTTTACACTTCACAGTTCAAACATTACACTCACACCTGGAAGGGAAAATAAAGTTATACAACACCAATGCTTGTTGACACTAGCTACGATATAGAAATATAAAATAGTTACAATTGCAATAATGAGTTGGGAATATTTGAGTTGCACCCACTATTATTTACCATTGAAATTTGTACCCCATTTTTAAATCATTTGAGTTTGCACCTCCACACCCCAAAAGTGGGCTATTTATCTTAGACATTGCACCCCATGATTAGATTTAAATCATTTAATATTTGAGTTTGCACCTCATTTTTGGGAATTGGGACATTGGGGTGTGAAATCCAATGATTTTAAAATGAAATGCAAAGTCCACCCGGAGTGCAAACTCAAACTTTTGTCATTCAATAAAATTTACGAAATGGGCTTTTTCCCTGAATTTATAGAAACTAGCACCCATGTTGCATCAAGATCTGAATCAGAAGATTTTATAATTTTGTAAATTTGAGAAAAAATTAAATTTTGTTTGAAAAATCAAATCATTTTCCCACCTTAGGGTTGTCAAGAATTAAAAGTATAACAAGGTGGAAAACTTAAAGAAGAACAAAAAACAGTTCCTTCACTTCCTTGTTTACTCTCAAAGCAAATCAAAATATCAAATTCATATCAAACAAATGAAACAATTGTATAATATATTCAAAAACATACTCTTTTATTATCACATTAGTGCAAATTAGTATGAGGGCATCATAATATCTTTCTCGAAAAAAATGGTTTTATTTTGCTAAAGCTGCAGAAGATGTTTTAGGGAACATAAATAGTCAATAAGTACAAGCATTGATTTGAGCAAAAATGTAATTTCATTACATAAAAAACAATAATAAAAATAAATATACTAAATAAGCCTCCAAACCAAGGCTTCCCATCTTCATATCCCCTCTGTAGTACTTAAGCTCAGATTTCTTATAAACCAAAGGAAGTTATATTCACTTTCTCATTATTCGAGAACAGAGTACTTCATACAAAAATAATGAGCCTTCAAGTGGGGATCAGAGCAAGGCACATAGCACTGGCCAACCCAGCAATCAAACATAACATTTATAGACATGTTGATCCGGTAACACTTTTTGGTATCAAATGACCGCACATTTGGGATCAATAGCCATACTTGAGTAAAACCTGTAGTCAAACCGACCACTAGATTTTAGGGTTTTGCAGAAGAAAAAGATGGCATAGTGCAATGTTTACCTTCCATTATTCACTAACGAAATATCTGGAAATCCGTTCAAATCTTCAGCCTCAAAGAAAGCATCGCTCCTCAACCACGAGTCACCCCCGAGCGCGCCGCCGCCGTGCAATCTTTGTTTTACTGTTTACTCTTTGTCCCGTTTCTCTCTCAACAGCACTCTTCTGCGGTGGTTATGTCTGCCCGGACAGTATTTTATTACTGGGTGCTTTTTTGCTGTTGTTTTTCCTTTTCCTTTTCTATTTACACAGGAATTTATAGACTGCTTCTATTAAGAACTTCCTCCCCAATTCATTAATTTTGTGCCATTAACTTCACTTCATTTTTTGACAAAACAAAACTCCACTTCATTTTATTTGCAAAAAAACAACTTCACTTCATTTTAATTTATCACCAAAAAACTTCACTTAATTTATGAAAGATCAATTTTTAACCATATCAATTATAAAATTTTTTTTATAAAATTTGTATTAGTTTTTTGTCTTGCCAAAGTAATCTCTAACTTAGTTAACTTGGGATATCTAAAAATTGTCCATATATTTAATTTAATTTACCTTTTCCTTTGACTTCTGCTCTTCTACTCTGATTATTAAAGCATTTACATTGATGATCTGTAAGAAGATGAATTTTTGTGCTTCTCAATTATAAGTCATTGTCACATAAATATATTTTTAATAATCTAAAAGCTCTTATATTATTCTTAAGGATGTTTTCACTTGGACCATTTTCAGTCTCAAACCAGACCAGATCAGACTTGACTAGTTATAAAATACAACATTTACCAGAACAGATCGGACCAATTTATACCAGACAAGATCAGACTAGAAAATTTTAGTCGAAGTAAAAACATCCTAACTATCGTCTTCAAATAAACTCATCGGAAGATGATATATTATTATATGGTGTATTATTCTTAGATAGCGTCTAAAAGGAGTTATTCTTAAATATTACCAATAAAAATGTCATTAGTAAAGATGCGACTTAACAACTATTAATGACTATATTTGTGATCAAAGATTACATCACAGTAACTTACACTTAGTTACTACGGTGTAAATTTTAAACACAATTTACGAATAGTAGTGTTTGTGGAATTTTTTCAAAAAGAACCTCCATCTTCAGATTAACTAATTTTTATTAGTCCTATCTTAAAGTAATCTGTAATCATGTTTTAATCTACATCACCCAACCATGACCAAATTTATCTTCTAAAAATTTTATGAATGAGGATGTTTTTAGAATGTTGATTGATACAATATTATTAAGTATGTTGTACTCCGGTATCAGGGGCGGATGTATGCTAGGTCAGGGGTGGGCTTCAGCCCAGCCCAAAATTTTTTTTTAATAGTATTGGTACATTTTCAAATCTCAGTCCAGCCTAAATTATTTGTCAGCCCACCCCATAAATAATTTGTGAATCAGTGAAGTTATGAACTTCTGCCGTGAATTTGTAAACTGTGACTAACCGATTGTGTATTAAACTATTAATGTATTAATTATTATTATTTTTAGCATTTTAGAGTTTTAGGGCTAGAGAATCATACAATCGTTTTGATTATTAATTGAATTTTTCAGTACATAATTAAATAGTTTTATTTTTTATATATAAGTATTTTAATATATACCAATATTGAAAATGTTTTTTAGAATGAATAATGAACATGTTGCCAAGAAGGGAAAGAAGTTGATTTCATCATTCTTTTCGAAAGTGAATCGTCAAACTGGTGAAGGGAGTTCTGAACCTATACCTACAACAGTGCAAGATCTAGTCAATGAGGATCATCCACATGATGTAGTCCATTAAATCCAAACTATCTCAAATTTGGATTTCAATGCTCGATAGACATGCTCGAATGTAGAAGTTTAGACTATTCTCGTTAATAGATTCATGTTCAAATTATTCAATAAGTATTCAAATTTTTATTAATCATTAATAAATTTATTAAAATTGCACTAAAACGTTTAAATTTTATGATATGTACAATTGTATAATTTATATGTGAATGATAGGCTCGTGTTCGGATCGAAACATCACTATGTTCGATCTCGGCTTGAATAATTATTCAAACTCAAAACCTACTCCGTGTTCGAGTTCGAAACTTGTTAAACTCAATTCATTAAATTAGATTCGAAATCAAGCTCGAACTCGAGTATATAATTCAAAAAAATCTTTGTTCGATAACAACTCTGGGCTAAATTTGGTATGTATAGTAAAAAAATTACTTCTGCTTAGCCCACCCCATCTCTCGATCCTGGATCCGCCCCTGTCCGGTATGTTATAAAATGTATTAATAAGATCTATTTTATTAATCAATAAAATATTATTGAAAAATATCATAAGATCTATTTTATCCTTATTTTGAAACTAAGTGGTAAATAAGTCTGAAATGTCAATTTTTAAAAGGGGAAACTAAATATAAAATAAAACAACCGAGGTTTTTTCTAGCGAAAATATTACTAATAAAAAAGTTATGACAAAAAATGATTATAAGTTATTATGCTTAAGTTTTATAGTCACTATAATGTCATATTTAAATACAATTGTAGTCACTTAAGTTACCGATGTCACTTTTTTGTCCACTAATTAAATTTTGGTTATATATTTAGAATTATTTTTTATAAATAAGTGAAATAAATATCTGTAAATGAACTAATACGAGCATGATCTACAGATTGAGCACTAATAATAATTAGAGAAGTGAATAATAAGTAAGAAGTAAATTAAGTACGTAGCAATAGTTTGATTAAAAAAAGTGATTATTGACATTAATGTTTCTCTAAATTCAAATGAACGTTATCCATAAAGAAGGAAGACTACAATGGAGTTTGCTTAATATTTTTCTTCATCAGCACTAAAAGGTGGGGAATAAAGGCATGGTCAGAAGAAACAATAATTACACCTAGCGGGCATGGTTACATTTTGTCTTGCGATAATTTATAGTGGCCACACGGTGAATTTTGACTATTGATTTAGATTTTAAATCATAAATATTTTATTTTAGGTAAAACACTAATGACCTGTTTGGATCGAGTGTTAGGGAGTGTTAGTAATGGAAGTTTTAGTAAGTGTTAGTAAGGGCCCAGAAGTAGGGATGGATCCGAGCCGATCCGGTTCCGGGCCAGTCTGGTTCCAGTTCCGGGCCGAGCTCAGGTGGACTTTTTTTTTCAAATTATTGGGCCCGGAACCAGCCCGGTTTAATACCGGGTCCGGGCCGGGCCCGGGTCAAGGTAATTTTTTTTGCTTTCTAATTAACCCCCGACCCCCCACCACCCAAAACCCCCCAAAACACCCAGCCCTAACCAAGAAAAAAAAATTGAAAAACCAAAAAAATAAATAAAAAAAAACCAAGCCTGACCCGAAACGCCCGGACCAGTTCAACAAATATAGGGCCCGAGCCCGGCCCACCCAACCCTCCCCAACCGGGTAAAAGCCCAGACCCGGTTAGCACCAACCGATCCGGTCCGGGCCAGCACAGTGGCGAGCCGGGCCAGTTCCGGGCCAAGCCGAACCGGTTGAGTCCACCCTTACCCAGAAGCGAAGGGAAGTGTAAGTGTTAGACATAATTTTATTGACCGTAGTAGTTAGGACCTGATTTCTCTATGACTCTATTGGAGTATTACAAGGAAAAAAACTGCATAGTGGCACCCAATATAATGTTAAAGGTGGTTTTAACTAGATGAATTGCTAAGTTAATATAGATTTAAAAAATTGTTTTTTGAATGGAGATTTAAATAATTGTTTAATCGCTATGGATATAGTGTTTTTGTTTAGCTTGTGTTTTTTTAATAGTCTACATAGATTTTCTGTTATTTTTCTTTTTCATGGTTGTATGGAGCAAATCTTTACAATCTCCATTTAACAATCAATTGGAATTAGATAACGAGATTACAATCTTTCTTTGTCAAGGTACGTGAACTATATTTCATTTCATTATTTAAAGTGAGATTGTTGTTTTCATTTCATTTTAAATCAATATTGACCGACCGCTAAAAATTATGAAAAAATGAAAATGAAAGCTCAGAATGGAGTTATGGTGATATTATATCGTTTTGAGATTGACTAGGATCAACAGCTTTAAAAAATATACTCTCTAGTAATCCAGTCTTTCATGCATAGGGAGGGGGATGAATGAGAATTTAAGGAAGGGGTCATACTAATGAATCACTTACTTCGTGGCTGATATGCTTACTTAGTTGATCACTCACCAGCCATCCCACAGAATCTATGTTGCAAGATATTTTTCCTAATTTCTCAAGTTAGAAAAATCTTATATTGTATCTCATTCCATGACCATTCTTTATTCGAGCATCTATGAGGTTGATAAGATCAATAATTACAACGCGCACGGGTAGCTCAGTTGGTTCAGTGCTGGGAAATTTGGACCAAGTGACCAAGGTTCGAAACCCGAAGCGGTCGTGTGGAGGTCACAAAACCTGAAATAAGGCTAGGCCTCTGGTGCGCACGGGAAAAAGGCCTACCATCATTGGGCCGACTGAGTCACCGTGATTAACACCCTCCCAAAAATCATGTCGGGTCGGGGTATGGAGGGCTCCGGGGTGGGAGATTCCACCTTTTTTTGGGACCAAGATCAATAATTACAAGCTGAGTCATAGTTACAGCTCATATTCAACTTAGACTGATAGTGACATCCTTCACAAAATACATTTCCCGGAATTTCTTAACTCACATTTAAATGTCATGGTGTGTTAGCGGGGATGGGCCCAGGACTTATTGTTAGGGGGTACCTGATTTTACCTAGGTTAGATTATATGTTTAAACACTAATGAGGGAAAAATCCTCAAGAATGTTTTTCTCTTGTAAATGCTTATATAATATAGCAGTAAAAGGCAATACTTTCCAAGACATCAAACCATCAGTGGCACATTTTTACCATATCTCCCCTAATGACACTCCACAAACAAGCCAGGTATCAAAGTAAAGCTTTAACAACAGATCCACTGCCAATGTGATCATCAAGCCTAGTTTGGCATAACCTCATAATACTCATTAGACTCCATATCAGCAGAGATTTGTAGTTGCTACATAAATCAGTTAACCCTTCGTTAAAACCTTGCATCAGCAACCTGAAAGGAACAATGACAACAAGATACATTATCCATACTCTTCTGTAGCAGAGATATACTACCCCTTGTGGTTCCTAATTTACATATTTGTTTTTCCTTTTATAGTGGAACAAATAAAATCAGAACGATACAAAGAATTAGCATGCCCCTACACGCATGAATCAAGAACTGGTCTCCTCTTTTGGTCAATAAAATCTGCATGTGCATGGTTATTTAGAAAAATATAAAACATGACAAACTCAATAAGAAAAGGCAGTATTAATTATACCTCACTTCTATAGATCTGCCTTTTACAGCACAAGTTTGAAACCCTTGGACAGGAAATCATCTCTACTCAAACATAGGTAGAAATAAAATCCAGTAAGATAGCAGTCAACACTAGAGTGGTAATCACAAGTAAAACCTGATACTTAGTACGGAAGAATACACTTCCTCATACTAGTAAAATCAATTTAGGCTTTACCTCTTTTTACCACTTTGCTTCTTCTTCCCTAAGACGTTGATGTTCTTCCCCTGTTTACTATTCCAACTTGTTGTGTGTACAGAATCAAGTCCAACCAGACTTTTTACACAAACAATGGTATCACAAATGTATGGAAAACTGGAACCCACCCTTTTCATGACCCTCTTCATCTTCATATCAAACAGAAGGAGCTTCTTACCATCCTGCTCCAGCAAAACCTGATCACCATTCTGCAAAAATGCAATGGGGACCAAATAGTTGAAGGGACCAGTTGCAATTGAAGTTGCCACAGAGAACAACTTAGTCCAGGACTCCTTAACTCCGTACTGCTTCATCTCCCACACATCAACCCGTTCCGATATCTCAAGCACAGGGTCATAATTTGGCACCATCACAGCACAAAAAGATCCTCCAAGATCCACAAGCTTCAAGCAGCTACAGGTCTCCCGGCCATTGTAATCTGGCAACCCCATCTCCTGGCACTTTTCAGTCACTAGGTCAAACACAAGTATGGTATCCCAATTATCCGGATTCACCTTCACCATCCAGTAGTGCAAAGCATTTCCAAAAAGGACGCCATTGTTACGGAGATAAGTGTAATTGCTAGGAAAATGATCGATTCCCTTCCATTTCCTGGCCTTTAGACTATAAACCTTGACTTCACGGGTAAACGAGAGATCCATTATCCCATTAAATTCAATCATCAGTAGAAACTTATAGTCCTCCGTGATCGGGTCGTACCCAAATCCGGTGAGGAGAATTTCAAATGAATGGAACGGGAAGGAACCAAAATGGTCGGAAATGGGTAAACTGATGTACCTTCGACTTCGCGTGAAAGGATTCCAAATAGCCGCATCTCCCTTGGAATTCATAAGAGCAAGCAATCCGTTACTGCTACCCGCGACGGTGATGCCTTTGTCATCGCCTATCGGGTAAGTGAGTCGTATGAATGAGCTGAGATCGCTGAAGGCGGCCCAGCACAGGTCGTTGGTGCCTCCGAATATGAAGCCCAGTTGGGAGGTCGATTCTGGAGAGTGCTTAAAGTGGAGCTTGACGAAATCACGGCCGTCGATCAGGGAGCACCAGGACGTCGATACGGACCTGTACCGCAGCACATCTTTCAACGGTAATCGGCAGAGAATATCTGTGATTATCTCCCATGGGAGGTGGTGAGAGGTCGTCGCCATTGTTCTCTCGTTTTTCTGTTGTTTTTCTTTGTTTGTTCAGATTTCAGACAGTAGTAAAGGGAGTCTATATTGCTTGCTCACTCAGTCAGTGCGTCTTCTTTCTTTTTTAGAAAAAGACTTCCGCCCTTTTGCATCACTTTGCATTCCAATTTCCTTTTTACATGTCTCTGTAATTAAGTCTATGTAATTAAGTTATCACTTTCTTTTTGGGAGTCCTTAAACTAATTTCCTTAAATTAGTATGTTTAAGTCTAATATGGATTGATATAGTATGATAAGATGTGATATACTACGTATGTGTATTTTATTATATAATCCATGTATATCTTAAAACGATTCCAAGAGGGATGTCCAGAGAATTTCATTCATCATTTCATTTTCATTTACCCCAGTGCCGCAAAGGCTCTCACCTACGGTGAGGTAAGGAGGGTCGGACGTACGCAGTCTTACCTCTGTACTAAAGCAAAGAGAGACTGTTTCCGGATGATCCATAGTGAAAATCGCGTCCAGAATTGCATGGGCTGGCTGCTGCTCCATAACAAAGAAGCGCAGACAGTTTAATGAGCCATTTTGCTTTATTCCATCATAATCTCAATCCAAAAAATAATGAATCTTTGGCTCCATTCCAAGAGGGATCTCCAGAGCGATCTCCAGAGCGATCCAACAATTTTCGATCCAATAATCCCGTCGAAAAATGCATAACTTCTATTTTGCTATCTGGAGAGTGTATTATAGTTAGCCAGATGAAGCTTGAGATCCTGTCCTTCAATCATGTCTTCACTACAAGGAGTAGATTCGTTTTGTGTAGATTTTTCCTCGAAGCTACTCTTAGATATCTTAACGTGAGGAACGTACAAAGAAGTTTGTAGTAAAAAGGGAGTCTATGACTTTGTTTGCAAACACTACTAATAAGTGCTTTTGAACTTTTTAAAGTAATTTTGGAAAAAGTACTTAATAATACAAGTTTGTAGTGTTTGAAAAAAATGAATTTGAAAAGTAAAAGTTGGTAGTGTTTGATAAAAAATACGTGATTTTTGTGTAATAGAAAAAGTAAAAAGAAGATTCTACCTTTTTAGCTTTTAAGTATTCATTTAAGTAGAAATTGTCATCTTGCAAAAAAAGTAGTTGTCACTCGAAAACACTATTTTTAGGTTTTTAAGCCAAAAGCTGGGAAACACTTTTTAGTGTTTGCAAACAAAGCCTATATTGCTTGCTCACTCGGTCAGTGTGTCTTCTTTCTTTTTTCGAAAAGGCTTCCTCCCATTTGCATCACTTTCCTTTCCAATTTCCTTTTTACATCACTAATATTGGATTAATTGGATTAATTTGAATCTAATAAATTTAATGACATTTTCGTCAGAGCAGTTGAGTTGCCTGAATTTACTAAAGTATTAAAAAATCATATTCAAAATATATGTTCTTAATAAATAAAATAAAGAGAAAGTTATATGAAAAATAACTAAAATGATCTTCTACGGTAATTTCAGTCAATTTAATCAGAAAAATAACTTCAACCTTACTTATTTGGATTATTACACAATTCAGCATTTGAAATAGAAATGTATGTGTTTGTTAAAGAACATGCATGATAAGGCTGATAAGCTGAAAGTAGGAGTTATCAAATGAGCTCTATAAACCAGATCATATTTAAATAGAACAAAGTCAGACAAATAACAATACAAATACATATATAGCAGACACTTATCATATCATATTAGGCATAAATCTATCTGATCAAAATAATCCAGTCCAAGACAAAACATCCTTAAATGTTTCATTTGTATGGAAATGAATTTAAATCTAGTTGTGTTTACTTTGATTTTAAATGATTTGCCCTAATATATTTAAGTTTGATCCGTACTAATATGTTTAAGTCTAATATGGATTGATGTGGTATGATAGATGTGATATATGTGTATTTTATTATATAAGCCCCATATATTTTGGTGTAACTTTTTTTAATTTTTTCTTACCTAATTTTAAGTGTGAACTGAACATATCCAGTCTAGTTCAATAATGAAAGTAGTACATGAAAGCATCAATGTCTGAACCTCTACTTTTCTATGTATTTTTGTAAACATTCACATTGTCATTCACTTAAAAGAGGACCTTGAAACATCAATTTAACTTATCAACATCTAGTAAATAAATGCAAGATATTGATGTATACAAAAAAGTAGAACAACAATGTTTCCTTATACTTATTCCTTTCTTATTAGTACTATCACTTCAATCACACTCTAGTTAGGCTAAAGTTTTTTTTGTGCAATATTAACATTTTACTTTGTAATGATAAATCATGAACAAAGAAGTGAATTGTAATTTGTAATGTTACCACTAGGGTTGAGCACAGATCTAGGATTTCTTATCCCATACAAGTGCAATTGCTTGTTAATAAAAATGCTTCATGTTTGGTATAATATATGCTTATGATGGTCTATTGCCTCTTGGATTTTGGTAATATAGTGTTTTCATATTTAGATGTATTTGGTGTTATAAGTTAAGTGAAAATGTTTGGTTATAGTGTAAGTGAAATGACTTCTTACATGATATATTTGACTTAAAAGCTCTCATTTTAGAAAAATCAATTGAAATGTTTTTAATTTGTAAAAATGTTTATGGAAGGCATAATAGTTTGATAGGTAGGTAATCAATTAGACATCAAATTAAAACTATGAGAAGTCAAAGAACTCAAATGAAAAGAACTTACGATAGAATAGAAACAAAAGATATACCAATAAAAGAGACAACTGTTATCAACAATTAAAAATAAAATGGAAACAACTTCTCTCAAAAAATAATAAAAGAAAGTTCAGTAGAAGACCATCAAGAAAATCCAAATCAAACTTCTATAGTTAATAGAACACCAATTAGTGTGGATTTAGAAAATATGAAACGATTGTTTACAATAAACATTAGTGCAACATTGAAGACTACCCAGAAAGCTTATTGAACAAAAAAGAAGAAATTAACGATGAAGTGAATGACCAATACATCAAAAAAAGTCTTCGAAGAGAATGAAAGTTGTGAAAAAATGAGGTAGAAACAACAAGTAAAATCCTCTAGACCGTTTCTAATACTGAATCATCCTATAAACTCATAATGTCAAACATTATATGTGTACTAGTTAATTATTCGCGAGTTGCACGATTGGGTAAGTACCCAATATTTTTTTTTATAAATATGCATGTTTTATTTTGAGGTTTAAATCTCGAGATTTTAATTTCGAGTTTGCCTTGAAAAGTAATGACGAAATCCACCTGCAAAACAAACCTCAAAATATCAAAATCTTCAGAATTTCAAAATGTTTGGAACATCGAAAACTTTGGATTTTCGAAAACCTCAGAAAATCGAAAACTTGTTGTTTGAAAAACATCAGAATATCGAAAACTTCTAAAAACTTTGATAAACAAATATTCAATCAGAAATCCTATAATGTAAAGCTTCGATGAACTACGAAGAATGTCAAGTTTGAAGAATTCCGAGTTTCAAGAAACTGCAAACTTTGAAATATTCAAAACATGGACAAATTCCAAAAATCTCGAAATCTTTCAGAAAGTCGAAATCCTAAACATCGAGTTCCTAAAACTCGAAATTCCAAAACTCAAAATTCCAAAACTCGCAATTTTAAAACTCGAAGTTTTTTAAAACTTGCAGTTTCAAAACTCGCAGTTTCAAAACTCGCAGTTTCAAAACTCGCAGTTTCAAAACTCGCAGTTTCAAAACTCGCAGTTTTAAAACTCGCAGTTTTAAAACTCTCGAGTTTAGGAATTCGAGACCCTAAATGTCGAGTTCCTGCAAAATGAAAACTTCGAATTTTGAGAATCTGAAAACCGTTCTGATTAGCCCTCAAGGTCGAGATTCCTCCTGTATCTGTTTCAAGTCGAAATCGTTTCTGCACCCATGTAAAAGCATAAACACGAAATTTCATGAAGAGTTCTACGAAAATGAAAATTTGCAGAAATCGAAAACAAAGATATGCTGTAGAATCATTTTGAAGAGGCGATTCCAACAGTATAATTTTTACAGATTTTCGTTCACAAACAAGATTACAGGAGCAAAACTCTATATTGAAGAAAAAGACAAGAAAAGCAGAGCAGTTCTTCGTTAGATCCAAAAAAATCGCAGATAGATTCAACCTGTTTCACGTCTCGGCTCTGATACCAACTGATAGTCCCTAAAACTTAATAATCGAACAATCATAGCAGGTGATGGATAGTCTACCCGGGGGTATATATCCGAAGGGTTATTACGGGGAATAACTTAGAGAGAAGTCAGAGCAAGTAAGTAAAAGTAGAGAGAGAAAATGTATTATAAATGCGGAGTGTTTTCAGCCTGTTACGACTTGGTTACAAATGGGGAAAAGGGATGCTATTTATAGCAGCAATAAATGCCGGGCAGGGACACGTGTCAAGCGCTCATTGGCCGAGGGGTCACCTCAACTGGTTGGCGCTGGCAGCCGCATGTGGCCGCATTTAATGCGGCTGTTGGATGGGACGTCCGTGCGGGGTACGGTGATCTGTACGCATGTGAGGCGGATATCTTGTCGAGTGAGATGCCTTCGGCTATAGAGCAGTAGCCGAGGGCTCTTCCACCCGATGGCACCCTGGTGCCAAGGGCTCACAGTGCCGAGGGCTACTGTTTTCGCCGTTTTCTCCCAGTTTCTTAGTTTGCTTGAGAAACCCGCTCTGTGAGAATTTAGAGCCTTCGGCCAGGGGCCGAAGGCACCCCTGGCGCGTAGTGCGGGCTGCTTGGTACTCTGGGCGCTGTGATTTGGGCCTGTTGGGCCTGCTGGGCCTTCGCTGGAGTAGTAGGAGTCTGTGGGCCGGGGGTTCCCGGGCCATATACTCCATCAGGAGTCCCTCACTCCTTTTGCCGAAAGGTACTTGAGGGAAAAGGAGTAACTTGTGCTTGCCCTTTGATGTTGTCCCATCGTGATTCCTGAAGTTGGTGAGGAGTTGTTGCTTTTATGTCCCTGCCGAAGGCAGTCCCTCAGTTACCCACATGTCGGGACTTGAGGGCTTGCTTTGTTGTTTGTTGGGATTTCACAGATTTTAATGATTTTCCCGAAGGGGTCCTCCAGTCCCCCACT